CACTGTGTATACACATTTATATATCATTTGTCACAAGCAATTTCTTATGCTACATTGTGCTTATTCTTGTTTTCTCATGCTATTCATCCCAGCTCACTAAAATATCTGCTCAAGCCTTAAAATTGTCAAAATTGTAAAATATAGGGTCTGACCGGGCATTATTTATAGAGTTGGAACTGCTTTTTTCAAAGACTTTTGAAAATATCTTATTTATATAATGTTCAAATGCATTTTAAATGTTGTATTCAAGTCAAAAGTCTTGTTAAAAACTTAAAATCATAGAAAAATCTCATGGTCAATATATCACCCCTCATATAAACACTACTTTGTGGATAACAGTCTGGTATTTGAGCCTTCAAAGCCGGTAATGGTAGTCTACCTGTAGTTTACCAGCAACGCATTAGTAGAGTTGGCAGTAAGGATATTTGAGACAGTAAAATCTTACAATAAGATCCTCCAATCCTCAATCAATGGTCTTATCCTTAACTCATCCTCAAACCCAACACTGTTGTCCAGTTTTAAAATAGTAAAAATTTTGCAGAAGAATAAAGGAATTGTCATTCTTTGTGATGGTTTGTTACATGAAAGTTAGGACTTAACAAAGGGATAAAAATTTTGGACAGTGTTTGTGGACTTTTTCAGTCATAAATTTTTAAATTTGACCAATCTGACCGCTTTACAGTCACTGGTGTGTTAAAATAAGTGGTGTTGCAATTTAGTTTTTCAAGTTATTAAAAGATTGTTTAAAAAAGCAAATATGTAATCACATTTTTAATAACATGGGATAGCAGGAAATTACATTTATCATTAGCAAGTTTTATTTTTTGTACAGTCCTTTATACATTATATAGACATTTCAGTTAAATGAACGGCTGTAGGTCAGTATTGCTTTATTTATTTTAGCTTTGAGGTCTTAGAAGGATTTCAGTACCTATAAGGATTGTGGCATGCTGTCTACTCACTGTTACTTATAGTAGTTTGTTTTTCTAATAATTTCTAATAAAGGCATTGTCTATAATTAGATTTTCTTGCCTTTTGACCTTGAAAAATCAACTCTAGCATTGTGAAGGGACATAACTCCAATCCTGGGAAATGATTAGTCAGAGTTGATACAGTTCATAGCTTAATCATAACAGTTGAAACAATGTATATTCATTTGAATAGAAAATGAATATTAAAAGTAACTTCAGAAATTTTTTTGAAATGCTATTATTTATTAAATTTTTTGTTAAGAGATAAAAAGAAGAAAAGACTTAATTTTTATTTTTAAGATTATTGGTAAATTGCAAATGATCATATGAAAAGGAACATGGTTATCACAGTTTCTCAAGTCATTTGTATCCTTTTGATTTTGTTTATACAGTATTTTGATATTGATTGATAGGTCATGTTGAGATGTCAGCAACAGAAAATCGGGAACATTACAAGATGCAAAGCTGACAAGAAAACGATCTAGAAATCAGGATCTAATTACTACGATAATTATATTTTATGCCTATAAATTATTATTAATTATTTTTATTTATTCATTATTATTATTTTATTTATTTATTTATTATTATTTCTATTTTATGCCTATCAATATTCACTGGTAAATAAGTCAAATCTCAAATCAATAAAGATAATTCTTAAAATTACAATGTTTCTGATATGAACTTTATCTTGACTCACAAATTGAATATCATTTTTCGAATAACCGATATGTGTATGAATATAACTTTTATGAATGAAGTGTGTTAATAGTCACTCATTTTCACTACTATCACTGTTAATAACATCAGTTCTTTAAATAAAGGTGGCAAAAGAGTCATTTATGTGATTTACAGCTGTTGTGCAGTTTTCAAATTTTGCATCACAGAAGGTATCACCAGATAAATAACTAGGAAAGTTTGTATCCAAGGCTGATAGCATTTGAATTTGTTCTTGTAGGACATTGTGAGATCCCCGAGTGGCCAAGTGGTCTAAAGCGCTGTCCGTTACGGATCACTGCCATCTCACCTCTGTCTGCGTGGGTTCGAGTCTAGGATTCGGCGAATGTGGATATGTGAGAAAGCTTGCCAGTAGCTTCTCGTGGGTTGGTGGTTCTTTCCGGCGATTTCCCGGTTTCTTCCTCCACCATTAATACTGGCCACCATAAATAGCCTATCGTGTGCTGAAAAATGGCGTTAAGCACAACAACAACAACAACATTGTGAGAGACTCAGATGGGAACTGTTTCTGGTAGGACATTATGAGAGGCTCAGATGGGAACTGTTTCTGGTAGGACTTTGTGAGATGCTCAGATGGGAACTGTTTCTTTTAGGATATTGTGAGAGACTCAGATGGGAACTGTTTCTGGTAGGACATTGTGAGAGACTCAGATGGGTACTGTTTCTGGTAGGACATTGTGAGAGACTCAGATGGGAACTTGCTATGGGAAGAATATTTTGACAGTTATTTTACAGTGGGATTGAATAGATTGTTGGAACTTGTATATAGAGATTTGTTAAAGTGATTGCATAGTTATTCATGCTTATTAAGTAGTGACAAAGAAACCTCAAAAAAAAGGTAACTCCAGCTTTAAATATGATAATGCCAGATGTGTAAATGACAGATTGGACAGTAAAATTGAGGCTCATTCTTGGGTAGAAAGTTGATAGATGTATAATAAAATAATGTATTATATGATATGTCCAAGCTATCTGTATTCTCAGTCATCTGACTATTGTATTTATATAGTCATTGAATTGTCACACAGCAAGATTCATGAGATTTGTGTTATAAATTGGCAACAATAAAAATCAAGCTACATTAATGTATGATAAGCTTAATAATTTACATTGTGATTTGATTTTAAAAGATAAAGCAGCAAAATGCTTAGTTTGTATATTATTGATTGTAATTAATTTGAAATATTAATTTTAATGCTCTAAAATAAACTAATTTATTGGTGATAATAATACTCAGAGAGGGCTATTTGATTGGCATTAATAATGCTCTAACGGAGTTCTAATTGATTGGTGTTAATAATACTCTAAAAGAGAGCTACATGTTTGATGTTAGTAATGCTCTAACACACAGAGAGAGCTATTCAATTGGTGTTAATAATGCTCTAGCAGTTCTAATTGATTGGTGTTAATAATGCTCTAACAGTTTTAATTGATTGGTGTTAATAATGCTCTAACAGTTCTAATTGATTGGTGTTAATAATGCTCTAACAGTTCTAATTGATTGGTGTTAATAATGCTCTAACAGTTCTAATTGATTGGTGTTAATAATGCTCTAACAGTTCTAATTGATTGGTGTTAATAATGCTCTAACAGTTCTAATTGATTGGTGTCAATAATGCTCTAACAGTTCTAATTGATTGGTGTTAATAATGCTCTAACAGTTCTAATTGATTGGTGTTAATAATGCTCTAACAGTTCTAATTGATTGGTGTTAATAATGCTCTAACAGTTCTAATTGATTGGTGTTAATAATGCTCTAACAGTTCTAATTGATTGGTGTCAATAATGCTCTAACAGTTCTAATTGATTGGTGTTAATAATGCTCTAACAGTTCTAATTGATTGGTGTTAATAATGCTCTAACAGTTCTAATTGATTGGTGTCAATAATGCTCTAACAGTTCTAATTGATTGGTGTTAATAATGCTCTAACAGTTCTAATTGATTGGTGTTAATAATGCTCTAACAGTTCTAATTGATTGGTGTTAATAATGCTCTAACAGAGAGAGCTAATTGCTTTGTGTTAATTCTGCTCTAAAAGAGTTTTAATTGATTGGTGTTAATAAGGCTCTAACAGAGTTAACTGATTGATGTTAAAAATGCTCAAAAGAATTGATTGATTGGTGCTAATATTGCTCTAAAATAGAAATAATGCTTTACAAGAGAGCTAGTTGATTGGTTTTAAAAATTCTCTAAAAGACAGTCAAATGATTGGTGTTAATAATGCTCTAAAGGACAGTCAAACAATTGGTTTTAATATTGTTCTAAAAGAAAGTCAATTACTTGGTGTTAATAATGCTCTAAATGAGAGTTAATTGACTGTTTAGCAGACGAGCTGCAAAGAAATATTATAAGGGAGTTAACTGCATCAGCCAGAGAGAGACACAGTGACATTATGATGAGTCTGTACAGCATTTATGTCCCTTACTTGCTAATAGGAAGTGTGGCATGTCGATAATTTAATCGCTATTGAAGTGCCCTTAAGAGACAAACTTTTAGTTATCTCACAACCTCTGCTAATTTAGAGTATCATGTATATTCTCTTGTGTCTCATGGCCTAGCTTTTGGAATGAAGAGATTTATTATTTGAATATAGAATCAATCTTTTGTATAAATTTTGCATGTGTGTTTGTGAAAAAGAGCAAATGAGGGAAGAAGGACAACTGAAATAATATATTTTATTTATTGTATATGATGTCTGCTTGCAATTACATATTGCACCCACCTTCCTTCTGTTTATGGAAAGGTTTTTGACAAGGCAGATGGCCTGTAATAAGCTGTAACTGGGTATTCTGTATGTGATCCGCAGTATTTCCAATAGTACTCGGCTCGAGAAAAGCAGGTGAACAACCAGGTATCTGGAATAAAAATTGTTAAGCAAATACTTGCAAGAACATTTTGCTTAGGACTAGAGTAATGCTTCCCAGTCTAGTCATTTTCTTAGTCTTAGAGTACATGACGAGTCCCAGTCTAATCATTTTCTTAACAAATTGTAATGACGTATAATTCCTTTCTTTTATTTCATGTATATTCATTTTTTAACAAGGGGCCCTGCGTGTTATTAATTTGATTTTTCATGAACAGCTTTCATGGAAAGTGTCTTTTTCACAAAAAATCACTTTTCATGAAGAAACAAAATCTACGTGAAAAGTGATAACATTTTTTTTATAAATGTTGTTTACTCTATATGAATATTTCATAGAGGAAATAATTTCGTGTTGAAAATTGCTCATAGGAGTACTTTTTCTTCATGATATTAAGATTTTAATAAGGCAACATATGTCATTCAGACTGCACCGATGGCTTAGTGGTTAGAGCTTCTGCCTTCGATGCAAGAGCTTGTGGGTTTGATTCGTACCAAATAATTACAAAAATGGTACTAACAGCTGCCTTGTTTGGCGCTCAGCATTAAGAAGTTAGTGTTAGGACTGGTCGGCCTGGTGTCAGGATAATGTGACTGGGTGGGACATCATGCTACATGTCCGCGGCATGATTCCCCAGTGCTATAGACATCATTTTTTAAACTGACACACTGCAAACATCTTAGTGATATGACTGGAAAATTTTTAAAGCTACATTTAAAATCGTAATGATATCACATCACATGCCATTCAACTTTGAAAGGAACCCTCATTTACTGATAAGGATAAGTGGATAATAAAAGACCTGACCAGTAATTAGGTAAGATGAAAAATAGAGTTGTCTGGGTCTAATACCTTGTATGATAGATGCCACCACCAAACTTTGCTAACATCATGTATATACTGAATAGTGTATCATGTGATAAACCCTCAAAAACTACATGTGTGCTGCTAATGTACATTTACGAATTGTCTTCATGTAGTATACCTGATAGAAAAATGACACGAGACAGGTAAGACAAATTTAGTTTCTACTAATGCATATATGGTAAGATTACATAGACATATTGATGGTAGGGGTGGGAGTAGATAAATTGCAAAATCTTCATAAAAGTTGCCTTTTTATAAAATTTTGTTCCTTGAATTTTTTTAAAATGCAAATTTACGAAGAATTCAACTTTTATTACAAGAAAATTTTGTTTTCTCATCTGTGCAAATATTTCCAAAAAAATGAAAAAGTAAAATCTTCATGAAAATGTGATTCTCTTAATGAAAAAGCAACAAAAATGTGTGATTCATGAAAAGATGTTGTCATTTTGGTGAATAAAGAGGATTGTTTAAGACAAGTTTCCATTATTTTTATACATTGTGTCAAATGGCAGAGGGTATTATTGTTGGGTTGTTGTCCATCTGTCGGTCTGTTGCTAATCGTGTTTCCTCACAATGACTTAAGTTATACTCTATATAGTTACCAAACCGGATATCATAAAAGAAATAAAATATCATTTTGAGGGTTCAAAGGTCAATGCCACTCAAAATGACAGAATAAAAATTATTTCTACACAACTCAAGTTTTCCAACGTCTACAGTTATCTAACTGAGTAGATGACTTGAACTTAAGGCAGGGGATGAGACCTGTCAGTTTTGACATAAAAGTATCAGAGATCAAGATCAGTTTACTGATTTTCAAGTGATAATTTCAGTTCTCAACCATTTCCAGTGTCCAACTTTGTGCAATAGCTTGCAATTATGGTTTAAATTTTTTTTTAGTTTTCAATTTAAAAAATTCAATGGCAAGGTCATTAGCTCATTAAAACGCTGCACAATAATTAGTTTTACGTTACCGACTTAGCTGAAACATCGTGGATGTATTTTACTTGCAGTAAAAAAAAGCATTTTGATTTTGGGTTAAACAGGTGAAAGGTCCTTCTGGCTTAGAGAAAATTGTTTTTTTTTTTTAAAAAAAAAATTATAGCGCGTGTTCCGTGACCAGACTTTGTAGATAGATAGCTTTCACTCAGTGCAATAAAAATCTATTAATTTGGGGGTCTACAGGTCAGATGGTAAGGTAATGTTCTGATAAGCCTAATCTGAAATTATTGATTTTGCACATTAGGTTTATCATACCTTGCCCAATAATTGAGGTCACTGAGACTTATTGGTCAAATTATCTCCTGTCTTTTAATACCCTGACCAATAGTTAAAGTGACTTTTGGTCAGATTATCTCAAGTCCTTTTATACCTTGCAATGGTTGAGGTCACTGAGATCTATTGGTAAAATTATATCCAGTCCTATGATACTTAGCCCAATAGTAGAGGTCACTGAGACCTGTTGGTCAAATTTTATCCAGTCCCTTCATCCCTGCCCGATAGTTGAGGTCACTGAGACCTGTTGGTCAAGTTATCTCCTGTCGCATCATGCCCTGCCTGGTAGCAGAGATCATTGAGACCTATTGGCCAAATTTTCTCGAGTTCCTTCAAATCTTACTCGTGCCCACACAACGGACTAATTGCATGGTGGACGTACATCTGCTCTGACATGTTCGTTCAGGTTGTACATTGTGTAAAAAATGTATCAGTATTTGGTTTAGATTTTAATTTTTATTTAGGTTTACAAATACTCTTGAATCACAAAATTGTAAAAATTTGCATGAAATGAGTCACCCTTTTTTTTTAGAAAAGCGTTTTTAGTTTTAAAAATCTTAATGTTACTGACATTAATTGTCCATTATATATATATATATATATATATATATATATATATATATATATATATATATATATATATATCTGTGTGTGTGTATGCTTTGAGAAGAACAATGATTTTGGAGTTGGGGGGTGGTTCTTGAAAATTGTTAATCCATGCGTATAAGTGATGAATCATTGTATTTGTCAAACTATAACACGTTTGATTGAGCAAATATTTAGTACATCGTATTATCTTAGACTGTGCCAACTTGTACACGCTTTTTCAACGAAATATTCCATTCCCTTAAGATTTAAAGATGTGTGTAGAAGCAACAACAGCTTGTTTCACACCTTTGTGGTGTTGAGTTCGATTCCTAAATTTTTGCAATTATGTAATCATTATGATCGTCCGGAGTGTTCTCTTGGGTACATTCCAACTCTTTCATTCTGCAGTTTTGAATGTCAAAATTGAAACGAAGAATTGAAATTTAATGAGAATTAGCTAATAAAACAAACTTTATGCAAACATAATCATAACAAGGTCATTATGAAATAAGTTCAACCAATCAAGTGTAAATCTTTGTTCAACGTGAGCTATATCACTCAAACTTTTAGTGCTTAGGTTGATGAGAAACGGCACACTATATCTAATAAAGGTTACGTCATGTTAACGCAAATGAGAGTACAGGACCTACCTTGGGACTCGCCGTAATGATCGATGGTCCTTTTCTATTGTAAAATATGTACCCCTGAGAAGTCTTTGCATTGTGGGATTGAGAATGTCTAAAAATTTACACGTTTTCAGCTGTATGGGATTCTAAACAATGATGAGATATTTTTTTCTTTTAAAATTAAAACTTAGCCATAGGTATGATATTTGAATTCAAAAAGAGAAGACAGGAAAAGAAAAAGAAACAAAGAATCTAGCAGAGCTGCAATACCGCTATGAAAACTTGCTGCACCCGAAGCATCAAAGAACATTGATTTAACCTCTGTATGTGCAGGACAATGTGGAACATGGATCCAGCATCCACCACCTGCAGTTCTGGTTCGTCCTGAAAAATGAAAGTATTCAAGATACACTGTAAAAAAGCATTACATCTTGTACATGTTTACATTGAAGTATCATGGCAATATCATGACGTAAGATGGTGGCATCCAAACTTGGCAATATCATGACGTATCATGTTGGCATCCAAACTTGGTAATATCATGACGTATCATGGTGGTATCCAAACTTGGCAATATCAAGACGTATCATGGTGGCATCCAAACTTGGCAATATCATGACGTATCATGGTGGCATCCAAATTTGGCAATATCATGGCATTCCGACGGCATTCATTCTTCTGACGCATTCCCTTCCATGGTGACTTTTCTTTTCCAGAAAAAAAATATTTGATTTAATGCTATAAATTTTCTTCCTTTCTTCTTTCTTTCTTTTGTTTACTACTTTCTTTATTAATTTTAAATTTATCATATTCTTTCATTTTAAATTGACAAGGAAAATTCATATGTATTATTAATGATACTTTACCCGTGGGTCTGAAGATGCTTGTAATCGGGTATTTGTCACTACCTCCGCAATACTGCCACTGATTGTAAGCACGCGATAGACAAGCCTCCTCGTTTGTTGATGCGTTCAGATGTTGCTCAGCATACGTGTCTCTGTATATCTGCCCTCTATTGGAAGATCCGTGTGCAGGACAACCGTAGTCAGCGAAAAAACAACCGTCTCCGCCTAGTGTCATGGCACCTATTTAGAAGATAATTTGGCTGATGGGTCTGAGAAGTTAAAAGCTAAGATAGGACAACCACAATGAAAAGAAATGACAAAGTTAATTTTAAAAAAATGAAAATAGGCAAACAGACATAAGAAAAGACGCTGACACATTTTAAAAAGTGTTTTGTAAACATTTAAACAAATGTTTAAAAAGATTTAGCAATGCTCGTGTATTTCCGTATTTGAAATTTTTTTTCAAAAAAGAATGAAATCCAGCATGTTTGTTACTTTCTACCCAGTGTGTGCTGTTTGGACATTACAACTTTTAGCTGATATAAAGTTTTTAGATAGTGACATTTGGATGTGAAAGAAACTGAAAAGAGAAAATAATTTAGATTAGAATTTTGTCCCTCTTACGAGTGAAGTATTAACTTGTGTGTTTTTGACTTAAGAAAGAGGATCAGATGATGAATGGAAAGAGTATGCAATGATAAAACACACATACACACACACGCACACACACAATCAGTTTAATACACAAAATTATATATTTAAAAACAATCCCACACTTAAAAGGAGGATGTTTTGATATTTTAAAATGTATTTATTGCAATTATTGTAACATTAGGAACATTTTGTAATAATTTTGAAAAGCGCATGAAGTTTTAATATTGTTCATTTATGTCAGGTCTTGATGTCATTACTTATTTCATTCTTGTAATATACCCCAATAGTGACATCCTAATATTAAATTATATTGTCCCAATAGTGACATCTTAATATTAAATTCCTATTGTCCCAATAGTGACATCCTAATATTAAATTCCTATACCCCAATAGTGACATCTTAATATTAAATTCCTATTGTCCCATTAGTGACATCCTAATATTAAATTCCTATACCCCAATAGTGACATCTTAATATTGAATTCCCATTGTCGCAATAATGACATCCAGCTGTAATGTTAAATTCACATTTTCCACATAATGAGCCATTAACTGCTTAAGACAGAAAAATTAATTTTAAAACGCATTATAGAATCAACTATAAGATTTTCCCACATGATTGAAATATGTAGCTAAATAGAAAAGTGTGCGCTTTTGGTCTA